TCTACCGTAAAGTGCACGACTTTGCGCTCAGGTCGTCGGGCTACCGAAGCCGGGGAGCCATCCCCTCTGCAGAGGATCAAAATTGTAATGGCATGCATTCGGATCATCCTCAGGGATGTTTCCCAGACCGTCGCCTATAGCCCATTGTGCAGCTCCAGTGCGACGTAAATGAACTACAACTACAACAGCTTTCAACTGTTATCTTGATTACAAAATGTTTTATTTTGAGTAACTTAAAACTCGAAACTGTTGTATGGATAACATTAAAAAAATCTGATCAGCATATACGGTGGTCAGAAAGCTGCCCTTATATTAGAAAGGTACCGGATTCGAGTCCTGATCAGAGGCATGGACATTCTTTCCTTCTTGTCAGTACTGTCTATCCTTCTTACTGTGGGGGTAACGTAGTGACTCCTAATAGGGTGCTTCCTGAAAGAGTAGCACCGGCCCATCTGATACTTGAATGAAAAATGTCAAATTGTCTGCGGGCATTGGATTAAAAAAATAACTCGTGAAAATCTACCATAAAGTTTCATGAAAAGAAGTTGGTAGGTATTTTATTCACGTCCCACTAGAGCTACACAATGGGCTATTGGCGACAGTCTGGAAATATTACTGAGGATGACCAGAAGACGTGTCATCTCAATTTTGATCCTCTGCAGAGGGAATGGCTCCTCCACTTTGGTAGCGCGACGACTTGTGTGGGAAGTCGAAGAAATTATTAATTTAAAGGATGATAACATTTTTGAATACTCTTATTGTTTTTGCAGTAAATAATACGTTTTGGTTAATTTCTGAATAAAACTTCATGAAAAGTTTATTAAAATTGATTTAATAGAGAACATCACTGAAATAAGACAGATTATGTTTTCTTACAATGAAGGTTAAATAGAAATAATTCTTCGAAATATTGTTCCGAAGAAACACGCTATTAAAATGCTACATTATTTTTTGTTATTGTTTCATTAATAAAGTAATTTTATTTCTTCGGAAATACACTTGTTATAATTTTAACAAAAACATCTTTACTTTATTTTTAAGAAATAATTATAACTTGATTCCATTTAAAAGCATAGCGAAAGCATCTTTCTTGGTAATCTCAAATTTGAGTGAATGCTATGTGCAAGTTACAAAGGAAGTCACAGGCACACAAGTATGTTGATTAGTTAATTCGATTTCTACTTCAACAATTAAAAAGTGCGGTATTGCTTAATAACCTCCTAAATAAAAAGAATCATAAAGTGTAAAAATTGAATTGATTCCGTTCTGGATTAACCTATCCAATTATTTATATCAGGTGCATTGAATCTGTCATATTAAAAAACTAAATCCTTTAAATATAATTATGCGTTTTATAAAACATAAATACAGTGTACTATTTTTTATAACCGTCGCTGAACTGCCGACTCAATTTAATGAGTTTACGACAACTAATGTTCAACTCCGTAGCCTTGTCATTTTGAACCCAGTCTAGAAGACAAGGGAACTCCTGGATCGAGTATTGGGAGAAATTTGCTTTCTTGGAGGACTTTTTGATGGAGCTAACCGGCATTTGCGTAACATGGAGAGGAAGACCACGAGAACCTCCCACTTGTTAGCATGACGGCAAGGGGACTCTAACCCATGATCCGTCTACCACTGAGGATATTTCACGTCAGCACTGTGGTCGGTGCAAGCCGGATGCGGAATTCGTATCAACTGGCGTTTCGCCGCATTGGAAGGCGAACGCTCTATCCCCTGAGTCATCGCGGCTCAAATACAGTGTATTTGTGTAAAGTGATCCTAACAATAAAGTGTTTTTAACTCACTACAAAAAGAAATCAATGGTCACAACACGTTTTGTAAAAACTTTTGTTAACTATTTTGGGAACTTATGAACTTAAGAAAATCGTGAATGTGGGACTTTCGATTTTCCTGTAACTATAAGCTTGAAAAGTACTTCATGCTCAAATTTGGTAAGTTCATATTTTTTTTTTTCATTTTGTCATCCAGTCTTTGTTAAATAGTCTGAAAAATGTATAAGTTTTAAATGAAACTTAGTCTAAAATGAGCTATCGCTACCATGGCAGTACAGCTTCCAGTTTCATATATTTGATTTTTAAAACATATTCAAAGAAGTCTGTAGTTAATTAAGAAAAATATGTGTATTTATTGCATGTTTATAGTGTTATCTGCAAAATGATAATGTGTGTGAAAACACCCGGATTTTACAGATTTATTATTAGTAGTAGTACATTTAAGAGCAATTTGTTTACAGTATAATAATTATTTTATCAATTAGCGGTCTTATTAGTACTATTTCAAAACTATTTTTTTATTTAAATTTATCAAGGCACTATTAATTTTACCAGTTTAACTTTATCTCTTAAGACGCTTAAAGTCTTTTGTAGATAAAATCAAATAAACTATCAAATTAAATAAACTATTTTGATACATTTGGTAGCATTTTATAAAAATTTGGTTACTTTAGACTTCTGTAAAGAAGTCTGAAGTAATGTATGAAATCGTAATGCATCTTCTTTCAGTGTTTCAAAGTAATGTATGAAATCGTACTAATTTTTCTAAAAAAATATTTTTCTCAGACATGCATTTGGGACTACTTCCCGAGTTTAAATTTTATTACGAATAAAAAAATATTAAAAACAAAAGAAATATTAAAATTAAAAAAAAAACTTTTTTTAAGCAGTTTTTAATGTTCGTTAAGTGCGCAAACCTTAATAGTGTTTCAGTATTGTGTTCTTTACCAATTGTTAAAGATATACAGTCCTCAAAATAAAAAAACGGACCATCCTGAATAACTTTTGATCTAATCATAGGATCTTTCCGTTCTGGGACTCTATCTTAATAGTTCGAGGGGGTGACCTCAAATATGCTAATTAATAAGTGCAGACGATGTTTTAAAATTCGAAATCAGACACAAAAAAAGGAACTTACTCTGAATAAACCTACCTATTTTTCAACAGATTTTGATTTCTGACCCCCAAAATATAGGGGGTAGCCGTCATCTGGGAAATATGGTCCTAATAGGGTTTTCAGGAAAGCCATCTTTTGATCTTATGATCTGATTTTTAACTTCTGGGACACAATCTTAGTGGCTCGAGGAAGGAGTGAACTCAAATACGCTAATTAATAATTTTTCAAAGTCAAATTGATGAAATTATAACAAATAAATTTCTTGAATATCACTAAACGAAAAATCATTTTACATGGCATATTAATTGAAAAAGTTTACTTTCAGAACTTGGTTACGTTTGTTACTTTTAAATGTAAGTGCTTACTTTTATACTTTGTAGAAAAACAAATTATTTTCATCAATTACCTGAAAGTATGTTTGTTCATAATAATTAGTTCGTCAATATATACTCTATAAAAATTGACGAAGTTTAGCGGTACTGAATATTATTTATGATCGTATGACGTTAAACTTATAAAGCCATTGTCTCAACGAATTTTTTTTTTGTAGGTAACAAAATTTTCTCAGATTCAATACATCCCATTTTCATGTTTAGAGATATTTTCTAAGTTTATAATGGTTCAGTTTTCCGAGCAGATTTATATTTAATTTTTCGTAGTCGATCAAAGATCAACTTCAACACCGCGTACGTTAAGTTTGCCTTTTTGGAAATAATATTTTTTCTTTTGGAAACATCTTCTAATTTTGATTAATACTTTAATCCCGTTGAAATTTAAAATTTTTCGATATTTTTCCCAACACGTGGTCGGGAGCTATCATTGAAAATTGTTTAAGAATTGTTTGAGAATTGTTTTAAGTTGTTTAAGAAGCAGCTAAGTAGAAGATTCACAATTTCTTCTTTAAAAGACTGTTTTAACACTTCGTATTATTAATTAATATAGTAAATCTAATTTAAAAAATCCTGACTTAAAAAAAAATATTTTTTCTTTGAAGGCAGGCCCCTTAAAGAAATTAACAGACTGAAGTCTAAAAAGTAATGCTTCTTGAATCACCTCTTTTTCCAAAAATTTCAACATTCCGGTTGGGATGATTAGAATCAATTATTCCTTATGAACTAGCTAATGAAGGGAAAATATTACTTAAAAATCCTATATCTACTAATTTTTAAGCCAAAGAACTATAATTTTTCTCCATCATCTTCCCTCTCTGAGGCATTAAATAATAAAAATATCCTTTTCAATTTATTTCCTATTTTTACCCTAGCTGGCCTAGGTTAGCTTGATGTAATAATGAAATATTATATCTAAATATTGTTAAAAAATATGAAGATGTTAATAAAAATTGAATTATTTCAAGCGTTCAAAAGTCGGCACACATTTTCAAGATTCACCAAACGTCGATTGGGGAAAAAAAGTGAAACACATTTTTGAGGCACTCGAAACATGTCGATTTTCATTACCATCTCAACGTTTTTGAAGCAAGTGAATTTTTCAAACATGTCTTTCCATTTAAGTTTTTTGGGATTATTTATTTAACCAAGGTTAGTTTAGTTTGGTTTCGGTTACGTTAATTCTATGTAAAAACAATGGTATTTTTTAAATCATTTTTTAAATATTCATAAAAATTAAAGGATTGGGACAAAATAATGATGAACCACACTTTTGATTTCGTTAGGATGATTTTGCTTCTCTTTAAAAGAAAATGATTTTATTCAGAAGATAAAATTTTTATGCGCACTTTCTTTTAGTGAAATTTGTGCGAATTTTTGAAGTCTGGAAAGAAATAGTTTACGTTTGATATAAATATCTGTGAAAAATAATTAACATTTTGAATATTTTTTCTGGAAAAATAATTAACATTTTGCATATTTTTCTGGAAAAAAAAATTAACATTTCAAAGCAAAAATGCCATTGAGAAAGTATGGTTCATCATTTTACTAGCCCTTCAATAATTTCATAGCATAAGCAATTTCTATTTTTGTAAAAAAAATAACGTTTTGAAGACTAAGCTAAAAACAGTATTCGTGGTTCAGTTTGTAAGGGAAAAAAATGCTGATCAATGAAATATAAGAAAGGAGATAATTTTATTAACAAGTATAAAAATTCTTTATTTTAAACTCTCATTTCCAACTGGTAAAAACACATATTACATAAAATAACACAATTTGTTTATTTAGAATATTAAAACAATGACAGTTCAGTGAGAAATTTGTTCGTTTAGTCAATTTTTGTTCAAAAACTATAACAGTTCAAAGCAGCAAACTTGGAAGCACTCAATACTTTTATTTGTAATTAAAGAGCTAGATTGATTAATAAATTGTTAAGTGACATCTTAGTGCGCTTGAAACAATCAACTTGAAATAGAAACAGCAGAAATATAACCATATAAAACAAAGTATATTTTTCCATTTAAAATTTTTCTTTAAATACTGTTTTAACACATGTTTAGTTTGAAGATATTTGTGTCTCTAAGATTTGGGAAAAAGTTTTTAAATAGATGATTTAGCATGCTCTTCCGTTTAATGTTTAGTATTGTTTAATTTTATCTTTGTCTTTTTGTAAATGCGAAATTTAACACGTTCTTCCACTTATCTTTTCAGTTTTCTTCAATTTTATCTCTGTTACAAATACTTTGTCAATTTTATCTTTATTGCTAATCTTCGTTACTGTTACTTTGTTGGTAATAAATTTGAATTCCTTGTTAAGGAATGGAACTAAAAACCACTCATTTTTCTCTTTTAAAATTCCCTTCTTTAAATACTATTTTAGTATTCATTACGAAGTTATATGTGTCTTAAACTTGGGGAATTTTGAAGATCTTTATGATTTGTTCCAGTTATCTTTTAAATTTAATTTAATTTTATTTTTGTTACTAAACAATTACCTTTACTTTATTTGTTGAATGATAGAACGAAAAGGAAAAAAATACTGTTTTTAATTTAAAATTTTCTTTCTTTAAAAAAGAACACTTTTTTTATTTAATTTTTTTTCTTTTAATAATAGTATTTAAGTACGTAATTATTATTAAGGTATATATGTGCCTTAAACTCAGGAAATTTTTTTTTTTTTTAAATGTGTCTAAACATGCTGTCTTACTTATCTCTTTAATTTTGTTTGTTTTTATCTTTTTATTAAATAAGTAAACTTGAATTTTTTTAGTATATGATGAATTTTCATTTTGGGCCTATTAACTAACAAAAGTTTTTCTTTCAAATATTAAAAAACATATAACAAATTCAATAAAGAATAAATGCTTCATTTTGAATTTGGGACTGGAATCTTTCATATGTTATTTGACTTCGGCTGAGATGAGTGACACAAAAATGATGAACATATTTTTTTTAACGATTAAGTAGGAATCTGTCGTGGTGCCATCTGTTGTCGATTGTTAAAAATTGAATTACGAAACTTTCCATTCAATGAATTTAAAACGTTTTTATTCAAATACAGCAATAACTTTTTTTTAATTTTAATTAGAAGTTAAATTATTTTTCTCAAGGTTATAAAGTTCTCGTATTTTTTTCCGGCTTCTGAAGCAGTTTTTAAAACATACATAAGCAATATACTCAAATTGGATTTTAAAGGAAAGAAATAAAGCTGTTATCCAAATGCAAATTTCAGAAAAAAAGTAGCATATAATTCTATTAGAACAATATAGTTTGCAAATGTTTCAATAAGAAATTCATAGAATTCATTTTGATTGTCTTGGTATCTAAATACCAGTTAAATAAATTTTATATCTTGAAATAAATAGATAATAACTGAATTGATTAGTTGCTCGAGAGTATATGTTGTCTTATATAGTTTTTTCTTTTTAATATCAATTGGAATATGTCCATAACTATATGCAAGAACAATTCTATCAAAATATTTTTCAAAAATTAGTTAAGGTTTAGGCTTAAAGTTGTGAAAGCAATCAAAGTTTAACTTTCCCTGATTCCACTCTTGCTCAAATTAGTAAACAGATTTTATCTTACTACCTTCTTTATTCAGGAAAGCAAATTTGATGATCAGAAGGAAAATACGGGGTTAGAAATTATGTTATCAGTTAGTATCAGTTTAATTGAAAAATCTTCTAATCAGTTTGTGGGAAGTGGAATGCAATGCGGAAAAGCAATGTCTCAATCGAAATAAGTGTTCGATTAGTTTAAGATCGGTAGATAAGATGCTGGATTAGTTTTAAAAGAATGAATTCAGCCAACCTTAAGTTCGACCGTAAGAAAGAGAAATTATAATCTGTATAGATTTTCAAAATTAATTTAAATGTTTTTGTTTTCGTACTTTAAAATTTAGTTCTATTTTAAACTTCAGTTCAAATTTCTTTCTTGCATTTCGTTCTTGCATAAGTTACGTTATCCTATATAAAAAAATAATTCCTAAACAATGCGTTAAACCATGTAATCAATTTAATTTATGTAAAATGTCTAAAATATAATTGGATTCTTAACTATAATTTTCTTTCTCAGTCTTTCAATTGTTTCTTACTTTCTTCAATGTTAACATCAGAATGTTCGAGAAAAGTTTAAATAAATTTTTATAACTGACTTTTTTAAAATATTTTATATTTTAAATCGATATAACGAACGTTTGAGATAAATTTAGATACATTTTTGTAACTGACTTATTTAAAATATTTTATCTTTTAATTCGCTATTACGAATGTTTCAGGAAAATTGAAACGAATTTTTATAACTGACTTTTTTAAAAGATTTTATATTTTAATTCGATATAGCAAATTTCGCCAATCATCACCAAAATTTTCAACTCTCCTCGGTAGATATTGTTTTTAACCACGACACGAAACACCAAACGTCCATTTTATGACTTTCCCAAAAAAAGTCACACTTTGAAATAGTTCCAAAAACGTATATATCAACAAGAAATTCTATATTTGAATACCGAGACGTCACTATACGTCTCCAATCCCTCGATTTCCTTTTGCACACCTGAGGGCGGGCTATTAGTTTTCCATATCTCCTTATTAGCTTCATATAGATATAACAAAAATGATGTTCTCCGGGGACATAATAGGGATACATCCCAGATGGCTTCACGAAGAAATATGAAGCTGGCTTCATCACTCTTTTTTTATGGCTTGTAATTACAACAGAGAAAGGCACTTATTGAATGTCATCAGGATCCATCACAAAAGGTTACTTCGCCTGTTCCATGCATCACCAGATGTAGTGGATCGCCGTCTATTACAACGGATTCTATACATCCTTGGAATCCGTGGTAGTAATCTTCGGGAAGGGCAGTGGGAAGACTTGGACAGCCACCTAATGATGGCAAATGGAGAAAAATTACATGAGTGGCATTCATCATAGAGTTATTTTATATCAGGCTTTCAATAAAAAAATATATATATCTAATGATATTTAATTATAGAAATACTCTTCGTTAACTTAGAATATCTACAACTTATAGAAACTCTTTCTATAGAATAATTTCGAGTTTATGACAGTTATCTCTAGATGTCATTTCAAATGTTCTCATTATTTTTTTCGATTACTATGCTTGATTTTTCTTTAATTTGCAACGCAATTCCATAAAATAATTTCTAAATTATTGAAAAGTATCTCCAAATATTATACATTAAAAACTGTTTTCGTATTTATTTATATACAAATTGCATGAGTGACATTCATCAGTTACTTTATATCAGGCTTTCCATGAAAAATATTTATATCTGGTGATATTTAATTATGGAAATGCTCTTAACATTGAATATCTGATATTTTACAGAAATTTTTTCTATAGAATCATTTCGAGATTATGACAGTTATCTCTAGATGTCATTTCAAGTAAATGTTCTCATTCCAAGCTTACCTCGTGGGGAAAAAGCTATCGCCTCCCTACGAGGTAACCTGGGTTTGAATCCTAGCGATGGCTGGAATTTGAATTCATCACTCGACTCGTACCAATCTCAGTGCTGACGTAAAATATCCTCAGCGGTAGACGGTTAGAGTCCTCTTGCCATCAGGCTAACCATGAGAGGTCTTGTGGCTTTCCTCTCCCTGTAACGCAAGTGCGGGTTAGTTCCATGAAAAAGTCCTCCACTAAGGCAAATATATTTCTCCTAATACTTGATCCAGGAGTTCCCTTGTCTTCTGGTATAGGTTAAGAATTACAAGGCTACGGAGTTGAACATTAGTAGCCGTATACCCGAAAATTGGGTCAGCTGCTCAATGACGGTTATAAAATATAAAGAATTCTATATTATGAACCTTGAATAGAATTCTAATAGTATTTTTTTGTTTTTGAAAGTGGGAAATAACATCTTATTTCAATTATATTACTTATATAATCATAGCATAAGCATAGAAACTAAAAACAATTAGTTCATTACAATAATTAATAATAAATCAAATGAATAACATGTTACAAAAACTAAAATGTTCGCATATCAAATATTGATTAATCAGTAGAGAAAAAAATGAAAAAGAATGTAGAATTAATAAAGCCTGACTATAATATACAAGATATTCAATGCATAATGTTTAACCTGATATAACAAACTATTTAACTAAAATATTTTGAACTAAAATATTTTGATTAAAAAACAAACCCACCTATCCAATACATTCCATCTGTATTGAGCTCCGTTGCTCCTGGATCAGAAGTGTTGCTAACAGGTGGATTATCATCTATAGTTAACGTACCATATCTCATATTTCTAAAAATAAAAATAAAAATTTTCAATACATAATTTAATTTTAATTTTATATACAGTGAACTCTCACTTATGCACCGGTGTAAGGGGCCAAGAGAAAAAAGCGCATAAGTGAAAGAGGCGCATAAGTGAAAAACTTCAAAATTCTAAAACGCAACGTAAATTACAGTGACAATATGAATAAATATGTTTCTAAAGATTTAATGTTAATATTTATACTGTTTTGGTATTTACTATAATTATACAAAGAAAAAATTTAACATACCTTAAGACAATTTATTTTCTTACAAAATAATCTTAATACATGTTTGTGTTTGTTTTCGCCGACGTTATTCGAAAACAGTTTTTTCCAGTTCATATAAATGGGATAAGGGGGTGTTTCAGAAGCAAAATTAAATTGTAAATAGTCAGGAATAGTGTCTAAAGCTTTCAATACTGCTGTGTGATTTGGAGAAACTTTATCATCTCGTCAGTATCATCCACTACGTTCTCATCATTCACAAGTTTTAGTTAGATATAAATGAACAGTTCTTCACAAAAAATTTGAGTTTTATGGGAGGGGGTGAAACATATCACATGATAAATTTCTAAGAAAAATACTTGACGTCATAATATGCTGCACAATAAGTTGTTCAAATATTTCCTTCACTAAACAGATCACCTCCTTTTATGTACTTATAATGTCCATCTGACTGCAAGTAAGTGATCGCGGTCTCTTTCATCTTTCGTATTCCAGGTGTCTTCTTTTTCTAGAAAACAACATGGGGGTAAAACTAACCTCTGGACAAGAGGAATTGGTCATTTTCTGAAAGATGAATGGGCTTTCATTGTTGTTGGTGTAAAAGATAAGACACCCTATTCAAAATTTTAGAAAGAATCTCTTTCCAGAAACAGCAAAAATGAAAAGGTCACAGGGGGAAGCAAATTCAATAGGATCTAACAACATATATTTCTTTTTATCTGTAACAAGGATTGCTCATTTGCTTCATTTTCAATTTGAAACATTTTTTTTAAAAGAAAAAATATTTAAAGGATTAAAAAATTAAAATGCCAGCCAAAAATTTCGGGGCATAATTGAAAAATTTATCTTTAAAGCGACGCATAATCGAAGGATGTTTATCATTATTTTCCTATCTAATGTACTGGGACCTATAAAAATTGTCGTATAAATGAAAAAGGTGCATAAGTGAGAGATCAGTGTAATAAAATGTATTCGTGCAGAGTATCCAAAATTAGGCTGATGGTTCTGCGCAATTCATAAAAAGAAAACAGTTGATGTAAAAAAAAAAGTATTTCTTTATACATTATTCAATTAAATTAGAAATAATTATCAAAAAATTATGATCGCCGACCATCACAGGTTACCCATTGGTAAAATGGTTGTCTAATTCTGAGAGGTAAGTTTAGGCCTTGACATCGTTTTTCATCTTGCTTAAACTCTAACCTTTTGGGACCCCGTGTCAATCAGTTTGGGACACTCCTTATTTCTGATATTCACCTGAATTATTTTTGAAAACGATCCAGTTTGAACTGTAGGTTAGAATTTCTGATTCTTACTTAAAACAATAAAAAAATATTGTTCAAATGATGAAATTCTCTTTTATTAAAATGAAATTCTCTTAACTCAAAAAGTATTTTTGGGATCTCTCGGGTCCCATATCTCAAAAATAAGCTAACAACTTATTACAAAACAAAATTAAAATAACGGAAAAGAATTCTAAAAAAATTATCAAGCATCAGCAGCCGCCATAGCAGCGTATGCGAACTGTTCAATATTACTCTTGAACACAGTTGAAAAGTGTGTTGACGTCCAAATCAGGTGCGCACGCCATCAAACACAAAACAACACCCATTTTGCCAATGAGTAAAAGGAAGAAAAATATTATTATGCGGCAAATTTATGTGATAATATGTAAATTACGTCTCACAAAGTTCTTGGGTTCAGTTCAGAGTGCGTCGAGAAAATGGCACTGTAATCCGCGATTACCGTTTTTTGTTACCGCTGTATTTTGATGTATAAAAAATTGCGATTACGACTCGTAATTGTGGCTTGGGGGGCACCTAAAAATATCGTAATGGGATTTTCATTCATTTAAAAGATTTCAAAAAATGTGATTTTAAGTTTCTTTATTTTACAAGGTCACTGCTTGCAGCATCTTTTATTAAAAGTTCAAAACAGTATGCACCGAATACAGGAATACGGGCAGAAAAAAATAACCCTGTTATATAAATTTGTGGCGTGAATTGTTTTCTCTTAGGAAAAAAAAACTGTTATAACATCGGCAGATTCATGTATTACTGTTAAGGGTTTTGTCCTCTCCACATTTTGTCTACATAACAAAACCACTGGAGCAGAAATCTCAAATGATTGTTGACTAACAATATTTATAAATAACTATTTTGAGATTTTATCTTCAGAAGTGAAAAACTGAATAACACCGATCCTATCAGTATATAAATTAAAGCATTCACTCCCTTATTCGTTTATCACTAATTCTCTCTTTTCCCATAAAGTTAGAAAGTTAAAATTTGGAACATACGTTCTGTATGAGGTTAATAGAAAAACTGAAAAGAAGCTCATTTCGATATTTTGCAATTATCGCGATAATTAGGTGTAATTACCCTAACCGAGAGTAATGCTAGATAACACGTTTTTCAAAAGACAGAAATCTCAAATTTTGAGGGTGTTTCCTTTCAGATATAAAAGAAATACTAAAAAGTTTCGTTTCGATGTTTTGCAATTATTGGGGTAATTACCTCAATTGAATGTTAAGCGAAATTGAAGTTTGCTGCAAAGTTAGTATAAGTAATTTGACCACCTGTTCCATAGCTGATAGAAAGAAGAATTAAGAATTAATTATCCTAATTGATAGTTCCAATGATAATTCAAATTAACTGTTCCATGTCGGATAGAGAGAAAAATTAAGATTTAATTAGCCTAATCGATAGTTATGCAAATTGACTAGTTTTAAACATGTTAAAAGTCTAATATGGACCATGTGATTTTACCATTTACCGTGTTTATTATTGGTTATTGTATTATTATAATAACAGTAAATTTACGATTTATCATTTCATGGCATTACCCCCACTATCTCAGAAGACTGTTGAAAAACATTTTGATGATAAATTCCAGAATTATTGTTACAAAATATTATTCAGTATTCCCCATAAAACTGACAATCTGAATCACTCACAACCTATTGTGTAAAAAGTCTCAAATGACTGATGAAATTTCATGTTTCAATTTAATTTTTTTAATGTTGATTGTTTGCTGATTGTTTTGTTGATTGTTTTCACGATCAACATTAAAAAGAAACATTGTTTATGGTGATATTCAATTATTCAATTTACCTTCTGTATGTTTGTAAAATGACGGACCAGCTAAAATTATTTACCAAAGTAGAAAAGAGAGAGAAGAAATAATATTGCAAAATTTAAACCTTGAGAAATTAAGTATCTTAAGAACATTTTATTCGGCTTAATAATATAGTGAACAATAAACATAATACTGAAATAATAATTGATTTCACCAAATAAACTGAAATAAAATCTTGTAACAGTAATCAAGTTATTAATAAGATAGCAGCAATATTTCAGTTGAATAAATGATTTTCAGTTAAATACATGAAAACGATCGGCACAACACATTGAGAACAAAACCTAAAATATGACTCACCTCGGAAATTAATATAACTAATCATAATAGCTATCGAAACATAATCGTAACATCTTTTGGGAGCTGGTCCCGAAGAAGAAAATATTATAAACATCTACAACGAACTCTAAATCAATTCTCGCCGTGTCGAATAAACAAAGTAAAGCAGGGTATGTTTTTAAAAAGTGCTTAAAGGTGCTTATTTTCGATTTTCATCTTTTAATAGCCTTTAAAGGTGCTTTTTTCATTGGGCGTTTTTGAAAAGTGCTTAATTTTCCCTTTACCATGTTGATTTTCGCCACGTATAATGCAAAAAGACACTGTTATTCAACGCATTCACAATTAATTCAACCCCAATCTATTTCGGTGTACAGTCGGGTAGTAGAGCATGAAAATGCCATTCGTTTTAAATGATTCAAAATTTCATAATTTTTGACAGTTGTCAAGTTTTTTTTCTTTTTGACATGGTGGTTAAAACCGGATAAAACCGTCAATTGTCAAAAACTTGCCAACCCTGCCTAATTATATACTTTCTAAAGTGCTTAAAAAGTTTTTGAGTGCTTGAAAAGTGCTTATTTCTTGTTGAAAAATTGGACAACGTACCTTGTGAAGGTTCGAAAAGAAACTGCGCAGACTCCTACGAAATGTATAATAGTGCTGACATCTCTGAATTAGAATTAAAACAAAAATAAATGACATTCAACAAATTAATGTTGCTATCTTTTAAAGGTTGCAATTAAGTTGAAACACTAAATTCGAATTGAAAATTAATTAAATATTAATAAATGACGAATTTTTAAAACTAAACACCTTCAATTCTCATGATTCAATTTACCTTTCTATGAGTGCCGTGTGCCACCTTTCATCGTCCACTCTATGGAGACTTGTTATGAGCAATGGTTCAGTCTGTTTGCCTAGATTGAAACTGAGTTGAGCATATCCTTTGGATATGGCCAGAGACAGATAATCTCCTCTTATTGTCGCTCCCTTGTTCGTCCACAAAAGTAGACCTTTGTGGAGGGATGTCCGAAATGTCACTTCTATGTTAGTTTCCCTCTGTCCTTCCATCCTAAATTAAACATATCGATTTGGAAAATTAACTGAATAACATTTAATGGTGTTTTTCGTGCTTATTCAACAAGCAAAATCTAAAAGTCACAATGTACACTCCCTGGCAAAATTATTATATGCACTATCAATGTAAAATCTTAATTATCAGGTGATAGTATACAGCTTAATCGTTTTTACGCGATGGAAACCGCTGTGCACTTGTTTGTGTTCGTGTATCAATTAATTAAATTCGACGATATATGATAGAAATTCGACGATTGGATAAATTAGACGATATATTATATAAATATAGAATAGTTATTATATCAAGTATTATATTAGTATATTATAATAATTAGACGAAATTATTAAACGCACTGTAGTTTTTTTTATAATGACATGCTTTGCACGAGTTTATATGCAGTACTTTTTTATTTAAACATACATGTAATGGGTTTTCATGCAGGATATTTCTTATATACTTCCTATTTGTATTTATTTTTAACGTATCGCATTACAATGTTAACTAATTGACACAAACGGAAACAAGTGCAGACCGGTTTCTGTTGCGTTCTCACGTGCGTCAGTTGCGGACGTGTTTCTGTGGCTTTACGCTCATGTTTCTTTGTTTCGCAGGTTTAATACTACGCAGTTATTTTTTTATTTTGTGTGCAGTGTATAGATAATTAATTGTAACATTTTCATCATAGGCAAAAAAAGGAGATCTTTCACCATGTAAAAATGCTGACTAAAAGACCTCGTGAATGCAAAAATATTTTTAAACAGCGAAACGTTACGTAGATTGAAGGTTTCTAAAGCTCGCGTATGGCGCATAAAGAAGAAAATTGAATCAGAGTACGAATTGAGCCTGAAACGAAAGAAAAGATGCGGAAGAATCTTACAGTGCGTCTAATAATTTGGCCAGATATAATTTGGTTTAATAGCATGTTTCCTGAACTCGAAACAATATTTTTATTTTAATTTCAAACTGCATACTTTTTAGTTTAAAGGAATTTATTGGGTTTTAAAGTAATTAACAAATTTTAATAATTATCAATTTCTTTTTTAAAATACTTAAATTGCTATTTTGGCAAGATTTTTTCATCCATATTAAAAAGCATTTAGCGGTTTTTTCGAAGCTCTCTCACCGAGAAAAAAAACGTAGTTTAAGTTTAAACTTGAAGCAAAGCTAAAGTTTAAAACAATATTAACCATTTTGTCAGAAATAAGTATCCAGGTTTTAGATCGGGCAAATGGATTGAATATTTAAAAATATTAATAATGAACATCAATTTCATTAGAGTGTTTCGTTTAGATGAAAATTATCAAACCCACTTAAAATGTATATCTAAATTTTCTTAAATTTTTATGAGCTCAAAATAATGCAGCATTAAAGTTACTTTGCTAACAAAAAAAAAAAACAAAACAAAAAACAAAAAAAAAACTGGAACAGCTAAACACTCAGCCCGATACTTTAACAAACAACTTTTAGTTCTATAAAAGTGTGGCTTTTTTTCGTATAAACGGTTTGAATCATTTTCATTATTAGCATATAGAAAACTTGATAAAGATTGGAAAATTTTAACCTAACACTCATGAATAATAGTTAGGTATAAAAATAGCGTATCATTTGCTAAAAAGCATTATTTCATGATACGACATCAGTCTTCGAAAAACAGCCTTAAAATCAATTTCAGATTGTTAACTTTTTTTAAAATAATACGAAGAATTCAAACAATACAGTGGAGTAATTTTTCAGTCATTAAAAAACCAATTATAAACGCTCATAGAAATCTTATCTTCTTGATGATAGATAATAGAATTAAGTGTGTAATACAAACTTACAAAGCATAACTTACCCTGTAATAGATTTGCTTGAAAAACTTAGGAAGTTACTTCCATCAAAAGAAACGGGTCGCTCTAAGTCTTCTTTATTAATTTCTAAAATGATCACAATAACATATTAGTTCTGTGAATAATTTTTTAAAATTAGTCTTAAAAAAATCGCCAAAATGTTGCATGAATTATGTGTGATAAATGAGAAATTAACATTAAACGGATAGTTATAAGTTATGTTATTTTAATGGTTTTTAATTGTAACATAAGTTTTGAGGCATTTAATGACTCTATTGAAGAAATCATGGATAGCCATTCACATAAGTAATATACTCTAGATGACTTGTACTCGAATTTTTGTATTAATAAATTTTATTGCAAAATGTTAAATGTGGTAGTATATAGTAAGTGAAGGACCAACTAAGGCATAAGGGTGATACTGAATTTGATTCACGTTATGCGCAGTTCCAGATGATGACGAAATGCATGGACGATTTGATTTATTTCACACTCCAATATTATGGATCAAATTATCAAGAGAAGCAGTCCAAAGGTTTTGTTTCTGGCCTGTAGAACGTCAAGAAGAATTTGGCACTTACCAAATTCCTCAAAAACTAATTAAAAGTCGGAAAAGATAACATCTGTGGTTAAATTATGTTTAAAAAAAAGTTAGTAATTAACAAAGACGAGCCGTGATGGCTCTGGGGATAGCGTTCGCCTTCTAATGAGGTGAACCAGGTTCGAATCCCAGCGATGACAGGTCGATACTAATTCAGCATCCAGCTTGCACCGACCACTGTGCTGACATAAAATGTCTCCAGTGGTAAATGGATCATGGGTTAGAGTCCCCTTGTTGCTAGGCTGACCTTATATAAACATCATTGTCCTAGGCACTAAATTCTTTTTGTCAGTTAATCTTGTAATATGTTTGCCATAAAACTAAATACTTTCAAATGTTTAAAAGTTAGAAACTGCAAAACTCATTTTTCAGGGGAAAAAACAGAATCCGAAAATCAGAATCAATTTATCAAAAAATAGAACTTTATATAAATTGAAATAATTAAAAACTATGGAAAAATTCATGTTTTTTTATCATATTACAAAATACAAATTTCCATTTAAACATAAATTTTAACGCAGAAAAATTTGTTCATAGAATTAAATTTAAAAATGAATAGTCATGTTATTAAAATAAATGCAAGTTTATGAAAGAAATGCAGCCGCGGGCGGCACATCGAGGGATGGTGGGCCACAGGTTGTACACCCCTACTCTACACTAAAGAACAGATATATCACTACAAAGTGTAGCAAATTGGTATAGCCGCTAATCTCCTATTATATTGTTCCTTACATTTGTGCTGTGCATTTTTTTCGGAACGAATTTCCGATGCTTTTATATCATATAACATTGAAGATATGAACATGGATTAAAAAAAACTGCTTCATTTTTTTATGATACTCTGAAATTCAAAACACAATCGTTGGAGCAAATTATGATAAGAATTTGAGTTTTAGTAAAAAATACTGGTTTTGTATAATTTAAGCATTATTAGAAAAAATTTATTGCAGTTTTTGTGTTGTGTATTCCTTAAAATCTAAATATTGAAAATAGAAAAAAAAACTGAAAAATTTAATAATTTTTTTTCAAATTAAACACAAAACTTTGTATATTTAGCTATAATAAAGCCATTTTGGTATGGTCTTTTTTGTATAGCAAAGCAAAAAGGCTGCATAAGTTGCGTCGAGAGGTGTCAGGATGCCTGAGGCGATTAGTGGCTTTTAAAACAAATCTCTTAAGGGAGGAAAATAATTTAATTAAAGGAAACATTGTAAAGGCAAGTTCATGCAAATTTAAAGCAATTTTTTTATTGAAACGCACGAGGAAATTATTTTCTGATAATGTTTCTAATGTGTTTCTATTTTCTAATAAAGGGTTCTAATTTGTTTCTAGTTTATAATAAATGCTTCTAGTTTTTTTTCGTTGTTTATTTAAAATGAAATAAATATTTATACTTTATCTTTCTCTCGAGTAATATAATTCTCTAGCTTACTCGTTAAATTTATTTGAAAATTACATATTGTGAAAGTAAAACATTTCCGCTACAGCCCATTGTGTGCCAGGGGGATTATGAAGATTAAGGCTCAACTATTTCGAGATCAATGACATGATGGTAGAAATGTGCTCAGTAATGCACACTGACCACATTTACTTTCCAGTCAAGCTGGAGATGATACATATAGACTTGAATCTGGGTGGGTTTAAAGTAGCTTTAAGGGAATAAATATGTTCTTTACTTTTCATATTAGTGCCTAAACCACTTAGCTAGCGCAGATAATATACATTATAATTCTTCTTAATATATTTTGCAGGAACCAAATATTCATATGTTAAAACTATTCATACCCCAGTAACAATTATACATAGACCCTAGTTGGGCTCAAGGTTGGGTTCAATATGGGTCCTATATGAACATAGATAGAGGGACCCATATTGGGATGTCTAAAATTTTTAATATTGGTCCTATGCAGTGTCAATATCGGCTTATATTGGATGAATAATGGATATAAAATATTGGGTGACCCTTATTGAGACAAGATTCTTGAATATTGGTAAAATAAGGGCCCGAGTTATTTTGCTGCTAGGTTAAGTAAAATTTTAATTACATACAAAATAAGCGCCAGATTAAAAGTTTAATTGTCCTTATTCACCTATTGGATGTTTTTATTTTGGCTGTATGCCTATAAGGCTGATGCGCCCTTAACACTCCTTTCTGAATTGCACTCACTTGCATATATGTCAGAGTTCTACCAAAATTGTTAATGATTTCTGCTATCATGTTAAGATATTTAGGCTTCGCAGTAGTACTAATTTTCCCTGTATTCTGTATGAATGCATTGTATGAATGCGTTAAATGTTTTCTAAAAAAGTACACAACGCTTACTCTTTTCACATCTCAGTCCCCAGAAATGTAAAGGACATTTGCAGAGAGGCACATTTAAGCTGGGAACACAAACACCATCATTAAGGCATTGCATTGTATTATCACATGGTGGTCCCCTGTAACGATGGACACGATGTGACCAAACAGCGCGGGACATTAGTCTGTCCCATATGTCTCCATTTACGTTAATCCTTTGAATCGCTCCGTCCAGACCAACTTTCACGCTGGATTCGGGATTCACTATCTTCAAGTTTGGAACACCGCCAACGTACAAATTGTTCTCAAGATTCAGTTCTGTCAGGGATGCCTGGAATGATAAAAAGGATTTCAAGATGAGGGAGTAATTTATGTAGGCAGAAGGTTTGGTTTAGGGATCATCACTCATCATGAATTGTCATGGAGGAAGTGTTGTTTAGGGATTAAATAGGGATAAACTCTGCTTTTGTAGGGAATTGCTAATATTCTGCTAGTGTCTTTCTTGCAAAGAAACTAAAGTTCTTTTATATTTTCTACTTAAAATGTACGTAGATAGACAAGTTTTCGAATTTGAAAAATAAAAGGAGAAGATAGATCTGTGTTATATTAGTTCTAACAATTATATTTCTACTAATACATAATTATAAGCATAAATACTGTAACTTGAAATATTTTAATATGGTAAAAATATAATTTAATGGTAAATACAGAAATTTTTGTTTTATAAATTTATTAAAATAGTGATTGATATTTACGTATTGAGGATTTAAAGTTGTGGGTATAGAGGAATTAAAATTAAAAGCTGCAATGTTTAAAATTTGAAATCTCATATATTTTTTCATGAAAATTTAAAGGCATGTATCAAAATACTAATTTAAAACATCATAAAAATAGTATACTTAAAAAAAAGATTTTAATGCTTGAAATAAAGAAGGAATTAAAATCATTTCTATTTTTTTTTCTGGCAAAAAAAGCGTTATTTGGTAAAAGTAAACAGTATTAGAAAGATGTTGCTTAAAAACATGTTCACCATTTTTCTATCGGTATTTTTTATCAATGTAAAGTAATACAATTTAGGCAATAGGAAGAATTTAGCAATACTGGAGGTTTAATATTCAGTTAAAACCCATTTCTTTAAATGTAAATTCATTAAGTTCATAAAAATTTATATTCCTTAAGCTCCCGAAATGAAACCTAAATTAAGTCTTCAAGACCCAAAATCGTCAATACATGGTTTTGGAAATTGCTAAAATTTGCGAAGTCTAAATTTAAATATTAAGAAAACCTAAATAGACGAATTTATAAAATTTGAACAGATTAATAACAGGAAATGCTAATAATGATATAATTGTAATTCATCAATTTTCGGAAAACCTAAATTCATTGAGTTCATAAAATCGTATTTCATCAAAATATTAAAATTCTAATTTCACTCGCTTTTTACATGCAGATTTTTTTGAAATTATAAAAATTTTTAATTATTTTTATAATTATAAAACTAATTATTTTTATAATTATTTTTTATTCGTATTATTTTTTGCAATACGAATATCTGAATTATTTCATAAATTTATATATTTATATTTTTTAAAAATATTAAATTTAAAAAAGTTATAATAATCATATTAGCTTTTATAAAATAGATAAATTTATATTTAATAAATTTATAAGATCTAAATTCAACCATTTAATAAAACCTAAGTTTAATAAGTTCATAAATTCGTAATTATTAAAATTATAAAATCTAATTTCAAAAATTTATTTATTTATATTTTCTAAAAATACTAAATTTATAAAATTATAATAATCATATTGGGTTTTAAAAAATAGATGAATTTAAATTCTATAAATTTATCAAGCTTATAAGATCTAAATTCAACCATTTTATAAAACCTAGATTTAATAAGTTCATACATTCTTAATCGTTAAAATTATAAAATCTTATTTCATAAATTCATTTATTTATATTTTTAAAAACATTAAATTCATAAAATTATAGCAAGAGCAGAACTCTAACAACTACCAAGGATTTATGTCCTTTAATATGTACCAACAATTTCTCAGTTTTACTAAGCACAAGAAAAATAAGGTTTGCAAACTCCAAAAACTAAACACACAGTTTTCTTTTCTTACCGGTGATTCTTTGGCTGAAATACGACCGTCATCAACTTGCAAAGTGCCGTTTTTCCACAAACGATTAACCTTCACCGAATGCCATTCGTTCAAAGATATAGGCTCCGGACTCCTGTGGAAATATAAAGAAAAAAAAACTTGAACTGAGCAAACCACTAGAGGTAGCAGATGAAGATTTTCCTGCCAAAAAATGAATCTCCTTTTCTGGAATGTACTTACATTGAAAAAAAAAGTGACGTGGAACTTTCTAAACAGCATTTTACGAATTTGTTTTTGATAGTTCACATGATTTGCGATCAAAATATACGACACTTTTATTTTCCCTGCAATTCAGTTGCTTCTCTAAGGCGACAACATGAGTCACCATTCTGATTTTTGTTTTCAACTCTTTTTTTTAATATATATCTACATGTGGTGACTATTTCTTTCTACAATTGCTTATTTCGAGCAGCGATGGCACAGGGGATAGACCGTTTGCCTTCCTATAAGGTTAACCGGGTTCGAATCCCAGTGATGGCTTGTCGATACGAATCTGCATCTTGCTTGTGCCGATCACAGTGCTGATGCGAAATATCCTCAGCCGTTGACGGATCATGAGTTAGAGTCCCCTTGCCGTCAGGCTAAACGTGGGAGTTTCTCGTTATTTCTCTCAATGTAACACAAATGCGGGTTAGTTCTATCAAAAAGTCCTCCACGAAGGCAAAGTTCTCCCAATACTGGATCCAGTAGTTCCCTTGTCTTCTGAATTGGGTTCAAAATTACAAGACTACGGAGTTGAACGTTAGTAGTCGTAAACCCAAAATTTGGGTCTGCTGTTTAACGACGGTTATAAAATATGAAAAAATATAATTGCTTATTTCATTCTGAACAATTATTTCACTAATTTAACTTTTTTATTGCATACGTTTGCTTTATAAGCATGTTTAAGGTACTTCGTTTCATAAAACTAGAAATTGTATTTTTGTAAACTAAAAATATAATAATTATTTTTTGCAACACGAGTCAATAACTTTTCCAATAATTTTCAATATTTCAAGTTTATTAATGCATACATTTGTTTCAAAAGCATGTTTAAGGTACTTAAATTGCAAAATGTTTAATTATGACATAAGTTTCATAAAACTAAAAAATTGTGTGTTTGTAAACTAAAAAATATAGTAATTATTTCTGCAACACGAATCAACAATACGTTTCAATATTTCAACTTTATTAATACATGCATTTCATAAGCATGTTTCAGTACTTACATTGCAAAGGTGTCATTATTTCTGCTATACGAGCATAATTTTCGCATATTAATAAATTTATAAGCATATTAATTAATTCACATTTAGAATTTTGAAAAGTTTAATTAATATTTTTAGCATTTAAAAGTTTAATTAATATATATAGCATTTAAAAAAAAAAATTTTTTTTAAATTTCAGTGTCCAGCATGATCCTGGCAGCAATTATTATGGTTACGCTCCTTGGCATTTTTTCTACATGATGAAATTTATTTCAAAATAAATTATTTCTTATTTAAATGCACACAAAAAACTTAGTTATTTTGTTAACAATAATTGTTTTATGTATAGACTTGACATTTAAATATAAGTTCAGTGTCCAGCATGACATTTAAATACGAACTGAACATTTTAAATATATAGACTAGAAAAAAAATTTAAAAATTTTATTTTTCTATGGATTCTTCCCTATTCCTAAACTTACGAGAATAAGTACTATGGATCTTAGGTAATTTTGAGTCCTTAAATATTTTGCCAAGAGTATTTTTTAGATTAATTATGTGTTAAACATGTTATTGTTACTGTTTAAACACATCCTTTTTAATTAAAGCTGCCATTTTTGCTAGCTTTCACATTCAACTGCTGAAAGTATAAGTCATGCATATATCTAATTAGAAGTCCGAATTCAATAGTTTTTAAAACTCTCATTTTATTTTGAAAGATTAATTAATTATAGTTGCTTACGTTCCGTTTAAAAAAGTTCGAAGCATTTCTTATGCAATTTTAGCTGTTTCTGGAAAGAAATAATGAATACCAATTAACCTAAAAAAATCTATGTATTTATATTAAAAATTATTTTACTATGTATTTATATAGGTCGTCATACATAGAGTATGATTATTCATTGTTCTACTTAGATAAAGAAAGACACTTAGGAAACATTTTTATGTACAAAAGTAAATAAATAAATTAACTTCCGTCAACACATAGTATTTAAATTAGAGTATTTGTCTTATAAATTTAAAAAAATGAACATAACAGAATAAAATTTAGGTAAGTATGAAAACGTAATCTCAATCTACGTTACGCAAAAAAAATTTTTTCCCAATGCCCACCTGTGTTAACATTTTTCGTGAATTCAGGCATTTACAGGACGATTTTGTTGGCCTCTCTTTCATGTGCACCATATTAGGTGGGCCAACATTGTTCCCGCAGTAAGGACAGATAGTACAGAGAAGGAAAGAACATCCATGTCTTGCCCGGTATTCGAACCCAGAACCTTTCTGATGCAAGGGCTGTTTCCTGACCCCTACACAGACCGGTCGGCTGTTACGCAATCATTAATTATTAAAAATAAGTATGTTAATAACAAATAATAAATGGTTGGAATAACCAGAAATTATTGGTATAAAAACTAATATATAATACCAAGTTATATATATTATTTTTTTCTATTTAAATCATTAATCAGTATTTGAAAACACTTTATCAACTTAGAATCAAAAATACATATTAGAAGAGCATGTGTTTTATACATTGAGAACAAACACTACTTTAAAAATCGAATTTAATATTTATAGTGGGCAAACATGCTAAGTGACATTTTAAAAATGCCCAACTTTCCGTACTAAAACTACGTCATTTTTGCATTGATATATACTGTCACGTATAAAGAAATGCAAAAATGACAAAGTAAATTTCTTAGGCAATATGTTTTGAAAACGCTTACTCATGCTTTTACAAAACATCGTGCTTTTACAAAGCATTACTATTACTAGTTCCCTCTAATTCGTTAAAATGTCCCTTATCGTATTCTTGCACTAAGTACGGTGATTAATGAAATGTTTACACTTACTTGATGCTCACAACTCCACTAATAGTAAGCATAAAAAATAAGACTTTTTCATTATTCAAACATCAAAATAAATAAATGCTATCGTTATATATACTTGAAAATATGTTTTAAAATTTGTTTTTGTTTTACAAAAAATATAGAATGCAAATTTGCCTTTTATAAATTAGTAGACATTAAAGACAATTGCAGTAATTCAAAGTAATATTTTTGAATTTGTCTTTATGAATGCATGTAGACATTAGTCATTAGCAGTAATTCAAAGCACTATTTTTGCACGCAAATTCACTACATGTTAGGTTACATTTTGTGCTATCTAAAGTCTAATAAATTTCCTTTTCACCACTCTATTACCTGTAAGTAAATTTGTTATTAAGCTTTGAGTAATCTAATATTGCAGAATTAGAAAAACGACAACGAGACTAATAGTTTAGAAGTTATTAAATTAGGTAAAAAAGCTACCACTTTTAAATTATTCCTACTTAAGTATCTTGTTATTGCTATCTAAACAAGTGCTATCTGAACGTAGTGTTTAAGCAGTAAAATCAAAATTGAGTCTAAAACTGATAGTTTAGTAGTTATAAGAGTATTATGCATAAAAGATAGTGTTATATAAATTAATAAAATCCTCCTAAATTCTAAACTTGGAGTCTAGGAGTCTAATTTAGAATTAGGACTTCTATACTAAGATATCATAGACTTGGCTTTGGTCTCATTCGATTCAAATATTCGGTTAATTAAAAAAAAAACTATTTTAAAGGGATATTTTTAAAAAATTGAAAATATGTTTGTTCCCAATTCTTTAGTTTAATTTTATTTAATGACAGCTTTGACATTAAAATTTATTGGAATTATGTCAAAAACAGTTTTTGATTGATATCACAATTTTGATTGATTTTAAGATGTCGAACATATTTTTTTATTTGCTTTAAAATCCTTTAATAAATTTATTCAGTTAAGGAGCTATCTTTGACTGAATGTAACAGTGTAACAATGTCTGTAACAGTAATATAGCATAACATATATAAATAATATAATATATGAAACACTTTGGAGTGATTTGGTTTGAAGTTGTCTGATTTTATCCTAAATGTGACTTATTTGCATAAAAATAATACTTAAGTTCTCTATAATGCGCTTTTTATAGTTTCTATTAGATGGCAGCACAATAACCAGTTACATTTTATTACTTATATAAAATAATGTTTTGCAGGAAAAAAAAGCTCCCTTTCAAAACTCAAAAAGTTTTTTTAATCTTTACACTTCCCCAAATACTTCATGTCAATACTTCAAATTAATCTTTATTTTCATGACAATTTACAGTTCTTATGAAAAACTGCTGAAACGATGCAATCCAGCAATTATAAAGAGTTTTTGAAAAACAAAATTGCTTTACAGCACTTAAGAATAAATCTTTAAAATATTTAAAATTTGTTCAAAAAAAAAGTAAACTTTAAAAGTAGAAATATATCTAATATAATTTTATCACCAAATGGGAAGATAATATTTAAAGTAATTACTTATGTGATATTAATTATTGCCTTGTTGAACACATTATTTTGTATGCCGTCAAAAAATTAAAAAAAAAAACGTTCTTTTTTTTATATGAAATCTAAAATACTCGTAAGTTACGAGTGTATTAAATTTATCAAAGAAAAGTTATATTATGAAAGATAGTTCTAATTACAAAATGTGCTTGGAAAGAAAAAACGTTAAGAATTTAGGTAAAAAATAGAATGTTTAAAGATATAATAAACACTACATTAAGATCCAAATATTATTAAAAAAAATTCATGAATGTTTTATTTTAAACATGATTCGTCAGTTGCGTTGTAGTGACTCTGAAAATTAAATTATAATAAAAAATATGAAAACAGGAGGAAAATTACAAAAAATAGAGTATTAAAATTTTTCATTTATTTTTCAAGGTACATCATTCTACTTTTCTTCAAAAAGTCAAACTAAAAATGGCTTATGTCAGTTACATCAAAAACAATACCGATGTTAATTAAATAATAAAGATGTAGTCAATTAAAGTAAATTTCTACTTGACTGGGATGAGAAAAAAAAAACTTAATTTTCTGTGAAATTTTTTTTTTTAAATTTATGCCAATTACGATATTTAATTTTTTAGGAAGTATGCAAATTTATTTTTAAAAAAACATGAATAGGAAGTATTTCAAAACCTTACTTATTTTCCTCAATTATGCTTTTTTAATATCTATTATTGTTAAATGCTTGTTGATTTTTTTTTAATAATAACTGTCTTATAATGTCATTTATGTCAAAATAATAAAAAATATTTAAAAAAATGACAATTTTAAGAGTTTTGTTAATTTTGATTACCCCAATTATTTTCTAAATTTCCATTACCGTTATTAAAATTGATATTTATGAAATATTTTAATTTAAAAGTTAGCTAATATGAAAAATTTAGGTTTTTTGATAAAAAAATATTATTAAACTGTTCAGAACTTCGTATAATAGTATAGAGTTTAAAAAAAAGTGGCTTCATGTTGATAAATTAGTTTTTAAATAAAAAATTGTTAGTGGAAATTTAATGCTCACTTTTTTTCCTAAAATGAAAAAGGTAGAATTAAAAATTTTCGTGACATTCTTTGGTTGTTTTTTCGCATAGGGATCATATGGTCTTAGTAAGAGAGACTGAAAATATTTCTATTCACTTAAAAAATCTATGTTTAAAATGCAATTTAAATATATTATTATGATTTTTATTATTTCTCTAAACTAGCTTGCTTCTACTCGTCATTTAACCCATAAAGTTTTGGAGAACATTAAATCAAAACAACTTAAATACTTCTAAATATGTTCACACGCTGAACCTTATTCTTTCGAAAATTAAACATAGATAATTAAAATGTTACTTTGTAAGGGGGTAATAAAGAGGTCTAGGGCTTTTTGATTTCCTCGAAGAAGCATCAAGTGCCTTTTTTTACTTTCTATAACTTATCAAATATTAAACTAAGGATTCAGAATTTTTTTACAGAAGTTTAGTTTAAGCAAAGAATTTAGCTAAACACTAACACTTTTCTGAAACTTTCACAATTTAATTACTCAAAAGCTTAATATAAAATTGAATGTAAAACTTTCATAAATAATTCAACAAGAGCTTTAAACAAAAATGTGGTTTTGCCAACGATTCTAATTTAGAAAAAAAATTTGGTTTTATATTTATATTTTAGTTTTATAATTATTTTAGTTTTATAAATTATATTTTAGTTTTTGGTGAGTAGACATCAGTATTATGCCTAACTTAAGCAGTTTTTTTAGTGTTATCTTATATTTGATGTCAAACTTCTCAGAATAACACAGGCCGAAATTCCTTTTTTTTTTCTAAACAAATCGAACATTTAGTTTGGAAAATCGTTTCGACTCCTTAATTGACTCATAGGCCATGAAATAAAAACTTACTAATTTATGTCAAACAAATTAGCTTTCTTTAATACTAGAAAGACTGAAACTTAATATATACCTATATTGCCTAAAAGCAGTTAAAATGAAGAACTAACATTGTGAAAGAATAACTAATGTGTAAAGAAATGTATTTAATTTTTAATATTTTTTTTTTATTTACAGTTATGTAACAAGTTATTAGTAAATATTAACAATAAAAGAATTTACTTCATTTGGAAAAAAATTAATTTATGCATTATTATTGTTTTTGCAAATGAAAAGGCAGTTAAAAAGCAGACAAAATGACTTCTTTGGGCAATCTAGTGTTAAGGGCGCATTCCTAAATTTTTATTAAAACATAAATGAACTAGTGATGTTCCACCGACTATTTTATTTGTATTTAAATATTATTTAATTAATTTACTGTATTAAATTGCTTAATATGATTAATTTATTTCCTTATCATAATTGTAACTTATTAGCATGATATTACGGGTCATGGTATCGATTCAAAGTTGAACTAATTTTTCTAAGAGTGCTAAACTGGTTGAGCAATTGGTTCAGTCATCCATTCATCAATTTTAGCTTAAAATACAAATTTTATTTTGGCTCATAAAGCTAAATTAAATTAAGTAACAGTCGGGGCAGCACTTCCCAAAAATATGATATGTTGGTTTAAAGTACCGACATTATGGCTATACCTATTTTTCTGAAAGTTGGACTGGATAAGCAATGGCTTAGTTTTAGTAATGCATTTCTAGTATTTTAAGCTGAAATAAAACTAATCTATTAAAGTAATATCGAATAAATAAATAAAGGTTCCAAAAGTTTTTAAAACGGATCAAAAGATGAAGTGTATTTAAAAAATTTATTTTCATAAAATAAATGCTGTCCCATAAAACAGTTTTTGTAATTAAAATAAAATTAATAATAAATATAGAAAAAAAAAATTTTCGAGCACTGTTAAAAATAAATTGTGATCGTCTAAAGGCGATTACAGGTTGTCCATTGGCAAAATGGTTTTCGTCTAATTTTTTTTTTTTTTTTTAGAATTTATATTTCTGATTTTCAATTAAAACAATAAAAACAAAAAATATCGTTCAACTGATCAAATTCTCTTTTGTTCACAAATCAAGAAGCATTTATGGGATCTCTCTGGTCCCCATATCTCAAAAATAAGCTCACCAACCTAATGCATAACAAAATTAAAAGTGAAAAAAAGAATTCTAAAAAAAATATCAAACAGCAGCGGTCCCCATAGCAACGCGTGCGCTCTGCTTACTATTACTCTTGAGCACAGTTGAAAAGTGTGATGACGTCCAAATAAAGTGCGCAAGCCATCAAACCCAAAACAAAACCCACTTTGCCAATGGGTAAAAAAAATATACATTGATGTCAATAAAAGTAACTTACGAAACAGATTGGACAGCACTTCCCAGGTCATATCGAAAATCAATATAACCATCAGTTATGGTAATGGCTACAAAATCTCCTTTTCCTGAAGCTTGCTGTCCGTTGTAAAGTACTGTTCCGTGTAACGCCCGTGTTAAAAACCAAACTTCAATGTTAAATGCTTGACGAACGTTTGTTAAAGTCGGAAATTCGAGATAAGAATCCCCCTTGAAATCAGGAACAAAAATGCCTTCAGACTCTCGATTAGCTGGAAAACATTTGAAGCATTTAATTGTAAATTAAATGAACAAATACACTGAGAAAAATACTTACAATAAGAATAATAATTACTTGTAATAGAGTAGAATAGTTATTATTCAATTCATGTTCAACAGATATGTTAGTATTAGATAAATACGACTACTAATGTTTAACTTCGTTGCCTCGTAATTTTGAACTCAATCCTGAAGATAAGGGAACTCCTGGACCAAGCATTAAAAATATAAAATACTCAAATAAAGTTGTGCTGTGATTTCCTGTTGGTTAACATTAAAGTTCATTTTAAAAGGGGACTAAGCTGGTCATCTGCAGGACAATTATAATATCTTCGTTTAATATTTGAAACTAGTGAATAGGAAAAAATAAACACGATAAAATATATTTAAGCATTCACTTAATCCCCATTCATATATTGGAACATGAATAATCTGCATATACACTTGATGAAATAATATGATTAAGAATATTTTAAATGAATTATGTATTACAATGTAGCATTTTGCTTTCAAAATAATTTAAATAGACTGAACACGTTGAAGTGTTTCAATATATGGAAGCGACCGATAAAAGGGATGGACGTTGTCCAGGGGGAAAATCATTGTCCAAATTGAATATCTAGTACGCTGAGAGTTTCTACGTAATTTGAATAATATATTCAGCGACACGTCATCAGTTATAAGAGGGTTGTGCATCCCGCTGCTTAACATGTGCTGGGACTATTAATCATTTGCAAATCACAATTTCAGTTATAATCAGTTTCCTATGTGATTGAAATACATGTAACTATAAATGTTAAATGCTGATTAGAGAATTATTTTAAGTCGCTTTTATTCAAAGGTATTGTGTTTTTTTAAATCAATTTTGATTGAAACTAAATAATGGATATTATTTTATTTTATAACAGTCGTTGAACAGCCGATCCAATTTTTGGGTTTACGACTACTAATGTTCAAACTCCGTAGCCTTGTAATTTTGAACCTTATCCAGAAGACCAGGGAACTGCTGGATCAAGTATTGAGAGAAATTTTGTCTTGGTGGAGAACTTTTTGATGGAAATATTCCACATTTGCGTTACATGGATAGAAAGATGACGAGAGCCTCCCACTGTTAGCCTCACGGCAAAGGGACTCTAACCCATGATCCGTCTACCACTGACGATAGTTCACGTCAGCACTGTGGTTGGTGCAAGCCGTATGCGGAATTCGTATCGACTGGGATTTAAACCCGGTCCACCACATTGGAAGTCGAGCTCTCTATCCCCTGAGCCATTGCAGCTCCAAATAAATAATGGATTTAATAACATAAAAAAATGCAAAGGGAGAATAAAAAATGAGCTTCAGATATTTTTTTAAATGAAGTCCATATGGAGGAATGCACCATATACTAGGCGTTTCCTCATCGACGATTTTAATGTTTATTTTTCATATACACTTCAAATACCTATTTCTATTTATTTCCTAGCGTATCAACAGCTTAATGTTGCTTCGTGGTGGCTCAAGTGATAGAGCGCTTGTCCTCCAATGATGAGACCCAGGTTCGAAACTCAGCGACGTCTGATCGATTCGAATTCTAGACGGGATATGGGTAAGAATCCTCTTGGTCGAGTTAGTTTGGTTGGTAGGGCACTGGGTCCATGTCCAAGAGGTCGTGGGTTCGATCCCCACCGGCCGACGACTTCCCGTTCAGTAAATGGTGGCTGGTGTACGTTAAATCTGTCGGGTCACAAAGTCCTCAGTGTTCTCATGACAAATCATACTTCTGGGGGTACTGATCCAGGAGCTTCCTTGTCTTCTGGATTAGTTCAAAATTACAAGGCTACCGAGTTGAACATTAGTAGCCGTAAGCCCAAAATTGGATCGGCTGTTCAATGACGGATATAAAATATAAAATAAAAAAATCCCCATGCGGAAGAGGTAACAGAGGAAGGTTTTTCGTGGTTTTTCTCTTCACTCTCCATGTAACGTAAATGCTGGTTAATTTCAATAGAAAATTCACTACGAAAGCTAATTTGTTTAAATGATTGATCCAAGAGTTCTTTAGTCTTCTGAGTTGGGTTCAAAATTATAAAGCTAAGGAATAGTGCATTGATAGCCATAAGCCCAAAAATGAGTCGGCTGAATGGGTAAATGAAGTAAAATAAATGTAGCTTATTGTAAGATAATTACAAGATATTATTTTTTTCTTCAAATTTATTTTCTTTTTCGTAGTTCGGCAATAATAAAAAATGCAGCAGAAAAAATATTTCAACTACTTATGAGATATAACCATATCCTTCCTACAAAACTACAAAAAATATCGCCACATTAAGTAAGTAACAAAGAAAACCAAAAAGCATATTTTATAAGAAAAAGTGAAATACTTGATAGAACTATGCAGGAGACAGGCTAACAGGCTCAGAACTTACTATCCCGTTTTCCTATGATTCGTTAGTTTAATTGCTTTTTTTTCCCGTTCTCCGTTTAAATTTCAGCTTGTGATCCCTCATGCTTTTAAGATTTTTTTTTACAAGATGCAAGCATTTAATTAACTATATTTAGCAAAAATAACAAAACTGTTCTGTTTAAAAATTCCTATGGAAATATATCTGGAAAGAGGGTACAAAATTTAATTAATAGTTATTAAACAGAGAACGGTTATCAAAGTGTACGCGAAATCATAGTGCTAGTCTATAAAAGTTAAGAAAAATCTTCCAATGAAAATCCATAAAATTTCGCTTTTTAAGGAATAAGGGAAATCATAGTAATTGTAATTGATCTATTAAGTATGTCTCAGAGCTCTCACAAAGCAGCAAAGGGAAAAATGCCCTACTTTTAATTAATGCATACTTGAACTTAAAATTGGTTAAAAGATAGGATGTGAATTTTAAAGTGCGAGTAGAGTGTGAGTTAAAGTGTGAATAAGGAAAGGATTTACAGAAAAGTTCTGAAGAAATAATATATATATATTACGGATAGTATTTATGTCATCATAACTCATTTTAAAATAATGATTCATAACAGCTTACTCTTTTCACATAGTTTTCCAGCACGATCTGGAGGGCATCTACACACAAATCCATGCTCTGCATGAGTTATACATGTTGATCCTTCAATACAAGGGCTGTTTATGCATGCGTCTTCTAATATTTCACAGGTTTTTCCTGAACCATAAATTTCAAATAGATTTAAATTATAACATGTATACATACAAACATATATATCGCAGCATATATGAATCGGAACAACATATAAACATATTTATATTACTACACACGGACATATGCAAAATACATAGCAATACATTTTCATCAATGGTTAAAATATGTGTTTTACTAGCTGGTGTGTTCTTTTAACGGTTTTTGACAATTTCAGCAAAGGTTAAAACCACGACCTTTTAATTTGCCGAAACATTAAGAAAAGTACAATTATATAGTTAGTCTACGTAAGGAACTCCCCTGGGTATTCGTCTAGAGTAGTGGCTTTGTCTATCGTTAGGAGGTTAAACTATTTCAAGTAGGGGGTTGGACATTATTTAAAACTGGTTTTGGCTGGAGTAGGCGAGAGAAAAGGAATCAGAGGAGAAAGAAGCTCCCCTCTTTGAAATGAGCTATTTCTTGTTTCCATAGCAGCAGAGAACCTTCGACTTCATGGAGAGGGGAGTTATTTCTTTCGACAAACTATATATAGGTACAATTATTATGTTTCAAACTTTCAATAGGTCATTAGAGATAGTGTTCAAGGTCAAATATTTGAATTTTTTTTTATACATTTTGATGATAAAAAGAAAACATTAAAAAAATATTTTATGATAATACTTTAAAAACAGTCAACTATATGCTAACGAAAGATATGCTGGAAGATCTATAGTTAAAAAGTTGGTTTAGAGTTTTTTTTTCAAAAACAAAAAATAATTTAACAACATAATACTATTGAGGATGGTATTCTATCTTAAAAAAAACTTATTTTGCAGTTTTAAGCTTATATACAGAACAGTGCTGATTTCTCAGAATCGTTTCCAGTTTTATAACAATATTATTTTCATTCTTTAGAAATGTTTTTAAATTTTTCTGTATTTTTTTTTTTCAAATATTCAAATGCAACGATTTTGATTTTACTTATTTGCATTGCTTTAATATTTGCAAAATAAATATATGTTTAAATAAAACTGCATGCATTTCCATTTCAATAACATTAAGACTAAAATAGTAATTTTACTATATTTTTGTTTTTATTTTATCTGTTTAAAATCTCCTTGAGAATATTTGAATTCTCACAAATAAACCAAAACAAATATAAATTTAAAACATTTTTCTGCGTTCTATTCATAGCTTTAATTTCTACATAAAATTATTTCCAATTCTAAGATTATGCGTTAATATTTACAAATTCGAATAGATATTTTAATATATTTATACATGTTTTGACTGTTTCTAAGATACTTTAGATGCGTTATGATTACCCTCCTAGCCTTTTGAAAATTTTAACCACTTTCAAAAGCTTAATAAACCAACTTTGCTTTACCACATTTAAACAAGAGGAATGAATATAGCTGTTGAAAAAAAGAGTGAACCGTCTGCCTTTTAAGCCAATAATGTGACTATACAATATTAAATGGACGATTAGTTGATTATCTGCAACTACAGTCAAACCCCACTATAGTGAACATGGTTTATAGTGAACTCCCGGATATAGCAAACGAAATGTTCGCTTCTGTGCTTTGCTATACAGACATACTATTATTTTTTGTGGATATAGTGAACTAAAAGAAGAGAGGAAATTGCATATTATGAACTTTTTTTTGTCTTTGACTGATTTTTTTATTTTTATTTCTTGGTAATTTTGAAATTTCTCCATAAAATCGCATTTACCGAATTTTAAAACCATCTTAAGATTGGAATGTAGCTGTAAGCATTTTCTCTTGTTTGCTTCTTCTATCTCAGTTTCCCATCCCTAAATTTTTTGTACGTAGGACGAAAAATAATAAAAAATAAAAGTTAGCACATTTTTTTGTTACTACATATTGTTTTTTTTAAATCATTTTTGTATTTCTTTTTATTGGTTACTTATTTAAATAATGTTTAATAAAATGGAGCAGTTCGGAAAAATTAGTTAAAATTGTTTACAGTACGGATATAGTGAACGCCCGGTTATAGTGAAGCGAAATTTCGGTCTCTTGAAGTTTCACTACAGCGGGATTCGGCTGTATTACTCTTTTCTAAAACAATGTATGAAACAATTTACTTAGTAATAACATTAGCAGATCAATCATTGATTAATGATGATAATTGATTGGAAGGTTATTATTTAAAACCAATAATTCGTGAGTTTAAAGCAGCAGAGTTAATAGACATTGAAGCATTTCTTATTAATTGCTATAGTGACTAAAGTGTTATTAGAAATTCCTGTTATTAAATAAACCATTTACATAATAATTTAAAGTGAATAATGCGAGTAATAGAGTCTAAGTTGTCATTATCCAGAATAAAGATAAATGGTCTTGTATGCTATGGTTTTGAAGCGTTTAATTCTTATTAGCTTCAAGCTTTCAAGTTGAAACATCATACAATTTACATACATGTTAGATATAAACTATAGGATAACGTGAGTAAGATAATTTATTCCTTATACCTACTTGATTGTTGGCAAAATATAATAATTTTTATTTATTCTTAATTTAAATTAGAATTTGGTTAACTTTTTTAAATCGTCGAGGTTATAATTGTTTTTTTTTTTAAAAATAAAATTAAAAGATAATTGTTTTCTAGATTACTCTTAGTAGCTCTTAGTCTAAATAAGCCTTTTAATAAATCTTAGTCTAAATTTCCCTCAAAGTTATGCAAATATGTTATTTAANATAATTATAATTATAATATTATAATTATTATAACTGTCGTTGAGCAGCTGACCCAATTTTTGGACTTACGTTTACTAATGTTCAACTCCGTAGCCTTGTAATTCTGAACCCTATCCAGAAGACAAGGGAACTCCTGGATATTGAGAGAAATTTGCCTTCGTGGAGGACTTTTATTTGATGAAGCTAACCCGCATTTGCGTTACATGGAGAGGAAGACCACGAGAACCTCCCACAGTTAGCCTGATGGCAAGGGGACTCTAACCCATGAACCGTCTACCACTTAGGATATTTCCCGTAAACACTGTGGTTGGTGCAAGAATGATGCGGAATTCGTATCAACTATGATCTGAACCCGGTTCGCCACATTGGAAGGCGAACGCTCTATCTCCAGAGCCATCTCGGCTCTTACTACTATTATTAGTAACGTTGGCATTAAAAATAATTATTAAATTCTGAGGCAAATCTTGACCACTTACGTTTAAGTGGTAATATTATATTGTTGGCTAAAAGCTTGATTTGGCGATCTTTTAATGATAACGCTTGGTCTTTTACTATATTGAAATTTAAATATATTTTAGAATATAGCACATCAGTTTTTAGTATCAAACCAATATCTAAATAACTTTTTTCCATCGAACTAAAAATAATTTAAAAATCAAGTGTAAACAAAGATAAAAAAATGCTATCATAATGCCCTATAATTTATTTAACGGAAGATTTGAAACATAAACTGACACATTTTTGTTTCCATGAAAAGAAAATTACGTTTAACCAAACTTTAAACAATGAAGTAGAATTTTGTCTGTTATATACAAAAAATAAAAATAAAAATATTCTCAATTTAACTCTTATTTTTTTCAGGTCCTAAAAATAACGTAAATAGTAACTAGAAAAAATGCTAATTGAAGGAATGAAATCTCTTCATGGATTTACTTCTGCGTGACTTTTTAAACTAATATACAGTTCTAATAATTAATATAATTACAATAATAATACTACAGCCAAATTATTAGAACACTGTATGATTTCATGTAAAATCTTAATTGTCAGGTGATACTATACAGCATTATTGTTTTTACGTGGCTGAAACTGGCTTACACTTGTTTAAGTTCATGTATCAATGACTTCACATTGTAATGCAATGCGTTAAAAATAAATACAAATAGGAAGTATATGAAAATTCTCCTGAATAAAAACCCATTACGTGTGTGTTTAAATATAAAAGTATTGCCTATAAACTCGTGCAAAACATGCAATTATTAAAACACTAAAATGCATCTAATAATTTGGTTCAATTATTATAATTTACTAATATAATACCTGATATGATAAATATTCTATATTTATGTAATATATCGTATAATTTATTTAATCATGGAATTTATATAATATATCGTATAATTTATTTAATCATGGAATTTATATAATATATCGTCTAATTTATTTAATCATCGAATTTATATAATATATCGTCCAATTTATCCAATCATCGAATTTATATTATATATCGTTTAATTTAGCCAATTGAAACACGAACGTAAACAAGTGAAAACTGGTTTCATTCGTATAAAAGCAATAAAACTGTGAGTATTACGTCATAATTAAGATTTTACATAGACTTTTATAGTGCTTCTAATAATTTTGCCAGGGACTGTAACTAATAATACTAAATAAAAATACTAATAATTAATTTACAGTAAGATTGGGTGAAATTAACGAGATAACAATATTTACTAACATGATACCATAAAATCAACCAAATAAAGAATTTGACGAATTTGAACCTAACAAAGACAAATTACGTTTTACCAAGCTTCATGCAATAAAGCAGATGGTAGTCTGGTATATACAAAAATATATGCATACATTCTTCTGTTCATTCGTTTAAATAATGTTTTTAACAAAATTTTGCTTTATCGATACAATTTCTAAAGCAGAAGTGTTTGTTACGAAAAATCCGCAAAAGCAAAATAACATGAAAAGCGGCTTTTGAAAAATAAAGACATCCACAAAAGTGCATTAAATTGTTCAAAGCTCTTCGTTNTGCATGTTCAGAGTGTAACGATGACAGGCCACATCTATAGGGATGTCATTCTGGAACAACATGTACGTTTGTTTCGGGGCGCCATGGGTGCTGAATTTCTGTTTATGAACGAGAACGCCCGTCCTCACCGTGCAAACATAGCAGACGAATGCCTTCAATCGGAGGATATCACCCGCATGGATTGGGCAGCATACTCACCGGAATTGAATCCTATAGAGCATATGTGGGATATGCTTGGCCGACGAATTGCAGCCCGTCAACCCCCTCTCTCCTGTCTACCGGACTTTCGGAGGGCATTGCTTGATGAGTGGTGTAATATTACCCAAGATCAGATTGATAATTTGATACTCAGCATGCCTAGGCATTGTACGGCCTGTATTGCATCGTCCGGGAGACATACTCCGTAATAACCATCATACTAACCATGTTATACTGTTTTTTGAAAATAGGTTCTTTTTTAAAATTTGCTCCCGGGAGTAAAAATCGCAATTTTTATTAATTATGTCAAACATATAGCATCTTTTTTGCTCTTTATCTTCTGCTTAATACATAGACTTCACAAATAAGTCAAATTTGCTTGTCTTCTGTCTCTTTCTGTGCCTGAACTTCATTATCCTTAATTTATGGACATGAGTGTAAAGCGATTGTGGAAAATGCAATTTCCTCTTAGAAAGACTAGAATTTGATTAAAATGTATTAACTCCAGAAATTTTTTCTAAAATAGAGAGTGTATAATTCTTGACTTTAACTATAATTTTATACCCTTACTAAATTCAATTTTGATGATTTGTAAATGAAAGAAATCATTTATCCAAAACTTCGCAAACAGTCGGTAATGTTTGAAATTATTGATATGTCAAAATTGTTTTGTATCCTAAGTTTCATAGGATTGTTTTTGTTGCTTTTAATAACGATAGAGCTGCATTTCTTGAAATGAGGGAGACCCTAGGCCAGGGGATCAAGAAATTAAATGTAACTTGCATTAAAAGGAAAAAAAACATATTCTCAGACACAAAATACATGTTGCGTAACGTTTTTAAAAAGTGCTTAATGGTGCTTATTTTCAATTTCCCTTTTCAAAAGCCCTTAAAGATGCTTTTTTCAGTGGGTATTTTTAGAAAGGGCTTAATTTTCTCTTTTGGAAAATGAGATTTTCTTCTATACCATGTCGATTTTCGCCACGTATTATGCAAAAGCGTGCTTTTCACATTGTTCTATTCAACGTTCTCACAATTCATTCAACCACAATCCATTTCGGCTTCCCGTATCCACCCATAGCGCACAATAGCCCCAAATCATTTAACATGTTTGATGAAATACTTGGGGGTCCATATGTGCGTCTACTGAGCTAGATTTGGTGAGATTCTAGCACTCTTATGTGCAACTCTGTCACATTTTGCAAGACATTCTCAATTTCAGGCTTCCTTTTCCACCCTCTGAAATCAATCCGAAAAATCTTTCGATCTTTTTATGTTGGCTAATATAACCAAGAAAGAGTCTTTTGTCGGAAACTAGTTATTTTATCATGATCATGTGATGTCTTCAAAAATTATTTTGCATTTTGTTAATGTTTATAGGGCTTAAAAATATTTTATGAGTGATTAAAAAGTACTTAAAATGGTGCATATTTTTTGTTGAAAGATTTGGCTGCGCACTCTGAAATATAAACATAAATTTCTAAGAAATTAGAACATCCGTTATTGTTGTAATACTATTTATGTTTGAAATCTTATTTTTTGAATTAAAAGTACGGCATAATTTGTTTACCAATTAAAAAAAATTTCATATGTGACTTTACTTTAGAGGTAACACACTTGCTATTTTTTTCTGTTTCCTAAGCAGATTCTGGCATGGGGTTTTCAAAACATTAATGATTCTTATTCATATTCCTTTCAATGCAAATATTCCGAACCAAAAAGGTTATGAAAAAGTGTATCTTACCTGTAAATCCTGGCATACAAAGGCATGAGTAATCAGTCTCGCCGATTGGTTCACATATAGCATTATTCTTGCAAGGTAGGTTAATACAAGAACTTGTTCCGCATTCATCTGCAATAAATTAATAGATTCTTTGGAATCAGTATGAAGCTTATTTCATACCAATAAGTATGAAGCTTATTTCATGCCGATTATCTCTTGCTAATAAGTATTGAGCGTATTTCATATCTCATCATGTGCCGATAAGTATGACGCTTATCATGACGCGAATAGAATATAAGGCCTAGCTCATGTCAATAATCTGAATCATTCTATCAATCGCAGCCTACCTTTCTAAAGCCTGCATGTTTAATGCTTATTTTATGTCAATTTGTATTTAAGTTACCTTATATTAAAAAGTAGAAAATTTTTATAAAGTTTACGAGTAAGAAAATGTTTTTTTCTTTAAAAATTGTGCATGAAAAAAGTAAAAAAAAGTAATTCATTTAATTATGTGATTATTATTACGCCAGTTGATAAACAATAAATTGGAAAGAGGTACGGAAATAATAATTTTGAGAATATTTTTGTGCATAAATTACAAAAAGATATTGGAGCATTATTATCTTAGGAATTTTTCAAACCTTGCAAGAATATTATTGACAATATCTGTCGAATATTGCTCAGTGACATTTATATGATGTACAATATATAATGTATTATATTCTTTAATAGATATCTTAAAATTAGGAATTTTGAAAGTTTGATTAGATTTCATAGAGCTATTGAAAATAAGTTTTAATATGTGTAGATCAAACAAAATAATGGCAAAAAAAACATATTTTTTATAAAATATGACAAGTTAAAATTGTCATAAAAAATTATTAGTCTCGATTTACAATGATAAAAATTTAGATTCAAATAAAACAAACATTATAAATTTAAAAAAAAAGAAATATTCGCACCAAAATTTTTTTCTCGGTACATTATATAGCTTCAAAAGTCAGACGTTTTCAAATATCCTGCAAATGTCGTGAGGTAAGATTCTGCAGATATTGTCATTAATATTGGAAAAATTTCTAAAATAATCTACCAACATCTTTTTTTAATATATATTTTTATAGATAATATCCCAAGATAATATTCTCCAATCTTTTTTAGCTTCATAAATCAGACGTTTGAAAATATGCGAATGTCATAAAAAGATAAAGGATGGATATCTTCCGATGATATTCTAACAAAGTCTAACATTTGATGAGCACAATATTTTACAAGCAATTTAATATACATTAAATATTTTATCATTACAATCCAAGGAATGTACAAAAATCTCATTCATATTAAAAAATGATAGGGTATACTTTGTGCCGTGTAAACTAAAATAAGTGAATAAAGCCGAAATGGAGCTACTATAGTTTCGGTTGTACAAACAAAAATCTTCCCTTGTGTCTAAACATCAAGGGATGGTAAAGAAATAAAGATAGAAACATTTGCTAAGTGGTTTAGCCAATAGGGACAAAGGAACAAATTTAAACATGATAATCAAAAGGAGAGATTAGGAACAGGTGCGAGTGGATTGGCGGGAACCATCCCGAATTAGAATAGACTTCCAAATATTGGAAAACAGTGGGATACTAGAAAGATCATTAACTTATTAGATATTTGCAAAATATAGTAGGACACCCAAACATCAAGTTCAGTAAATACAGAGAAGTGTTGAATGATTTTAGAATGTAACGTTTTGAGATGTAGCATACGAACCGGTGGTTGCAGTGAGTTTTAAAGTAGGCAGTTGTAAAAATGCCGTGTCTTTAAACTTATGTACACCAAATTTGGTGAAAATCGTTTCACAATAGCGGAAATACATTAAGTACCTACACACAAGCACATAAACATCCTGCTTTGCTTATACAGATAGATAAAAGAAATCGTCGGTAGAATTTTTTGCGAAACTATTCAATTCTTCCCATAAGCTCTTAAATCGAAGTGAAATAAGTAAAATCGATATTATATATATATATATATATATATATACACAAATTAACATGAAAAACATGAATAAAATAAAAAACAAAACTGCTGTGCCTGTTCAGGCGT